TAAAAAAATTTTAAGAACTATTTATTTTACAATACCTATCTGCTGAGACTTTAGCAGTTCGGTTAATTGAAATATAGGAGAAATGTGTTATGTGCAAGCCGCGTTGAGCAACAATACAAACAATTAATTACATGACCTCCAGTATTGATGTACCGAGTTACCAGATTAAACATTTCATTTCTATTTGTGACTGACTGCACTGTTTTTGTCTTGCTGCTGCCTATTTCTGAAATGCAAAAAAGACAGAAAGACTTATCTGGCTTAGAAATGAGTTGCTATTAAAAAACCTCCCTTTGGAAATGGATGGACATGCTGACAGCACTAAAATGTAACAGTGTTTACGAGATCTAAAGGTGCAGTGCCTGCTTTCTGCTATTGTGAAGAGTGGCAGAAAGCTGCGCTTACCCTTCGCATGGCTTCCTCTTCCTCCTGCCGCTTTTCATAATGTGTAAAATCGTCAAAGATTGAGGTGGTATGCTTGAAAGTCGCAATAATTTTAAGCACTTGCTTTGCCTTCTCTAGGGGCACTTCCTGAGTGTCCCTGGAGTTGGTGACAGGCTTGTTGTCATTGTTTTCTAAGCGAATGTGCCGCAGTTGGTTATTGGGCACGTCCTTAACAAAGATCCATTTCACCTCAAACTTGCCCTTCCACTTATTCTGGGACCAGACGCCAGCATAGGCGTTATAGTCCACGGTTGACTTCATCTCGGCCACGCCGCAAAAGTGTCCGCTGCCATTAACGCTAAAGAGCAGGTACAGTGGACCTTTGGCACTGAGCGAGCGGTAGGCGCCATCCAGGCGCTTGTTCCCGTGCTCTGTGCTGCACCAGATGGAGTACTTGATGGAACGGTGGATGTCATCCTCCGAGTAGCTCTTGATGATGAAGACCCGTCCATTTTTCAAGTTCCAGTCAAAGTCTTTGGGGCTGTAATCGTTGAGGGCCTTGAGCTTCTCCAGCACGGGGTGAACCTCACTGGAAGGCGGCAATGAGCTCATGAGGACTCCCGTCCCAAGGCCAAAGTTCTCCATGCTGCTGTTCTGGATAAATGTGGTTCCTCGGTTCCGAGGAGCCACCCAGCGGTTTTGGGTTGGGGGGTTCTGCACCTGAGGTGGGTGCAGGTGCTGCGGAGGACCTGGTTGCGAGTGATGGTGAGGGGGACCTGAGGGCAGCTGCTGAGGGTGCTGGGGAGATTGTAGCTGGAGCTGTTGGTGTTGGGGATGAGGAGGCAATGGACTTTGCAGCATAGGCTGAGGTTGGGCCAGGAGTTGCTGCTGCAACAAAGGCTGAGGCGGGAGCATCTGCTGCGCAAGAGGTGGTTTGGTGATGGAGCCTTTGTCCTCCCAGGTCCCAATGTTCATGTTATGCTTTATCGGTGGAGGAGGAATCGTGGAACCGCTTCCCAAACCCATGTTGGGCTTCAGCTTCAGCTTGGGCTGAGGTTTCGCCGGTTTCCTCGCGATAGCAGCCCACGAGGTGGGTTTTGGTGCAGAGGAGCTGACATGTGGCATGCTGTTGGCTGCCATGCTACTCATACCTGCCGTCCCACCTAAAGGAGACCCGACCGTTTTCGTAACGGCCGACATATCGGAGCCAAGCTTGAGCCCGGCCATTCCCTGATCGATACTACTGAGCCCTGGAACTTTACTAAGTTGCGTGTCACTGCCGAATCCGGCCTGTCCGTCAGCAATGGCCCGGCCCAATGAGCTCGGGGGATATCCATAACTGCTGCTGTATGCGGAGCTCTGTGTAGACTGTCCCTGAGAACCACTGGTGCCCCAGGTGGAAAAGTCTGCATTTCCAGGAAAGAAGTTAAATCCGTGTTGGCTGAGAAAAGGGGGCGTGTTGCCTAAAGCACCAGGCTGGCTGAAGACTCCATCAGGAATGAAGTGATGCTCACCATTGCTCATCTGTCCATACGTGGTCAGGTACGGCATAGGCGGGTCTCCTGCGGTGGACCAAGCAGCCTCTCCCAAGGAGTAAGGGAATCCGATAGAGGGAGCATAATAGCTGGGCATGTAGGGATCAGACATTGGTGGGTAACTATTACTCTGTAGGGGGTAATTAAAGATAAGTCAGTAATGATGATGTAACAAACCAAAGGCTAAATAAAGATGTGAGACAAAAACATAATCGCTGAAAAAAAAGAGTGATAAACACACTACCGTACCAAGACATTTATAATGTTACAATGGATTTCTATTTTCAATTAATGCTGTTCTTTTAAACTTTCTATTGATCAAAGGATCTTGAAATAGATAAGTATAGGACAAAAACTCACCTGATTTGTCTGGCTGCTCAGGTAATTGTCAAAGTCATCATCATTTACAGCATCCTTCTGATGCATCGAACCGTTTTGCACTAAGCAAAATTATACCAAAGACAGACAGACAGTGTATCAGTTACTTTTACTAAGTTCAATCAATATGATGTTGATAAAAAATAATGAGACACAGCAAAAGTAAATTACACTTGGAAATTATTATGTCTAAGCAAGAACAACAGGTAAAAAGTTTCTGCTACATATTAAAAACAGTTTTTTTCAATTGCTTCATCGGTCAATGTCAGGACTATGAAGTAACATAGAGAGCTAAATTAACATCAAGACAGATCTACTACATAAAATATGATTCACAGAAAGAGTGACTATTTATAAATGCACACAAGTAAGACAGTGAGAAACACATCAGTAAACCGAACCCCCTTAAAGAGACAGCTCACAACAAATGAAATTTCTCATCCATATGTTGTCCATTTGATTTTCTTTCTCTGAATGGCTGAAAGGTGAGGCTCGGTCACCATTCATTTTTATGGCATGGAAAAAGATGTAATGAAAGTGAATGTTGACTGAAGGTGTTAAGTCCCTAACATTGTATTCCATATAAGAAAGAAACAGTTAAACATGTTTATAGCAACATGAGGGCGAGTAAATGACATTACTTTAATTTTTTAGTTAGCTGTCCCTTTAAGTGTGTTTTCATAGCATACCTTTATTTCCTTGTCCTTTAGGTCTCTGGTTTTGGGTTCAAAGTATGCAGACAGTGACAAAGACAAAAAAAACCACGATGAATATCAGTTTATCATGAACAGGACATGGACACAATAATTCGGCCTAGCAATAACAGCTATCAAATAACCAGGACTCCCAGTTTGTGGAGAAGCGACTTGACTATAATTGACGTTAGCTGTGTTTTACAACCTAATGAAGTACCTTACTGTCCGTTAGTTTGTTTTAAAACGTTTATTCCTTTCAAGCGCGCCAATAATGATGTCTAGGTAGGCAGCTCACTAGGTTTTAAGACACAGCCTCTACATGCACCAGCATGATTTAAGTTATATTGATGGAAGCGCGTCCGTCTCGCGAACCTGATCGACAGTTGTCGCAGACATCCTCTGGGAGCCCGAGCTGATCGCTGTTATGACTGTCCACGGTCTCTCCTGCCACCGCTGAGGGTTCACGTTATTTTTTCCTCTCTCCGGGTTGCCCTATAATCACAGCGTATTTCTCAGGGGTTGATCTCCTCGCCCGGTTTCAAACGGTCGGCAGCGGTCCTCTCGAGCGGTACTGACAGCGAACGTCAAACGGCTGGGGGAGGTTGGCTGCTGTGTGATGTGTTTAAGTTAGTCCGAAACATTAACACTCTGTGTAACGTCTGGAGAAAATATTACCCTGCTCTGCTCCACAATGGCGGATGGGCTCTGACTCTCACTTCCGCTTGAGCGCTGACCTTCCGCCGCTGACGCAAAAGAGGAGACATGCGCCTGCTTTTTCATACAGTGCAAAATAAATCTTGCAATTACTATCTTGTAAACAGAGTTAATTTAGATGTTGAGCCATATCTTGTACATTTTGTGGTTTACAACGTGGTTTCTTTCGGCTTGTTTTTGGTTAGATTTCTGTACATTAATTAAGGATCACATCATGCCCAGCTTTTAACCGTTTCGAAAATGTTTAATTCGGGTATTTCCCTTATGACATGGACATGTCTTATCATAAAGGATAATATTTAAATCTGCTTCTTGCTAGCTAAATTTAGCATACATAGTATGTAAACGAGCCTTTGTTTTCAGTTTAAAGGCAAAGTTCAACAATACCATAAAGCAATATTAAGTTTGAAAAACTATTTTTAACTTTTTTGTTTACTTTCATCTTTTGATTTTTGAATAATAAAATCTGTACACGGAGAAACAAAAAAATCATAGGCTAAATAAATAAAGAAATTTTAAAAAGATGCAGGCAAAATGTGTTTGGAAGTGATATAATGATATATTTCCATGACCATGGGATAGAATAACGAAAAATCATATATTTTCAAATATTAATATTATTTAGAAGTAGTAACAAATACATAAAAATCTTAATTTCATATGTGACATTATATATTAATAAGTATATCACAATAACATAACCTATTCATTTGTAATTTAACAGTCATACTTTGGAAAAATATATAAATATTTAGTAATTTCATACATACTGTTTTATTATTTTACATTATTTTAATAATTAAATCATATGACAAACATTTTACAAAATAATTAAGAAATCATGTCTATATATTTTTATTACTGGGGGGCATAACCAAGCAGGTGGGTGAAAATGAGAAATAAAATATCCATGAAAAGACAACATTCTGCTATAACTGCTCTTTACCGCTTGGTAGCACTGTTATATTTTTTACGAAAATAACATGACCGAAAATGACGTTCTTTACAAGTCATCAAAATAAAAGTCCTGTTACTGCTTATAACTCCTAGAACTATCAGAAATATTATAACTTGTTTTGCAAACCTCAAGAAGATCGAGTTATAAATAATGTTATAAATAATTTCCCATAAGGAATTAAAAATATCAAAATGTAAATCAGTCAGTCATTCTGTCAGACTGTTCCCTGAGTTGCTTTTCTACTCATTCATTCATTCATTCATTCATTCATTCATTTTTTATTAATTTATTAATTTATTTTACAAAATACAAATACAAATACAAATGCTTTGGAGCATGCAGAACATGCTGACAGTGATTGCAAACGCACTTAAGGGTGGTGCCAAAATAAATGTAGGTATCATAATGTATATCTGTTTGCTGTTAATGAGACAGAGCATTGAAAGATTCAAGCTCTGTTTAGCTTAGAGGCATTAAAAGATTTACCAAGGCTAAACTATATCTCTGTAGTCTCATCGACCTTGTAGCTGGTGTACCGTAAAATGCAGTTATGCTTACTGTAAATTAAATAGCCACTGAACTGATCAGATTTGATTAAATTGCAGTCTGCCCTGATTCGGTCACTCTATTGTGTGTTAAATGATCATAATAGGTTGTTTTTAGCTTTCCACAGTCTGTGGCACTGTCCAAGCACAATTGAGAGTTGGCATAATAATTTGTTTGGCCTGATACGGATGTCATCATGGACCATATTGTGGTCTTTTTCAGATATGCAGTCTTTCTGCTATTTATATGTTTATCATTTTTTTCATTTACAATATGTGCTTCAATAAAATACAAAGTTTTAAATATAGCGTGGTATAGCCAAGTTTTATAGGGTGCCCAAACAGTGTCAGAGGTAAGATATTAGGGTTTAAGAATTAGTTAGTTAGTTAATAATATTTTTTCATGTTTATTTATTTATTTTATTCATTCATTTATTTATTTACTCATTCATTTATTTTTATTTTTTATGTTTTGCCTATGGCTTATTTCAAAAATTACGATTACAATTTTTAAAGAATGTAACTGACCTATCTTAGTTATTATAATTTGACCAACCAAATGCACTACTGTTCAAACGTTTTGGGTCTGTAAGATTTTTAAAAAATGTTTTAATGTCTCTGCTGCAAGGCTGCTTTTGTTTGTTTAAAAATACAGTAAAAACAGTAATATTGAGAAATATTATTACATTTACATTGTCATTTAGCAGACGATTTTATCCAACGCGACTTACAAATGTCTTTACAAAGTTTTTACAAAAAACGTACAAACATACTTATTACAGTTTAAAATAACGATTTCTCTATTTTAATGTATTTTGAAGTGTAATTTACTCCTGTGAAGGCAAAGCAGAATTTTCAGCAGCCATTAATCCAGTCTTAAGAGTCACATGATCCTTCAGAAATCATTTTAATATGCTGATTTGGTGTTCAAGAAACATTTCTTATTATCATTGCTGAAAATATTTGTGCTTTATTTATATAATATATATTAATTTCTTTCAAAAAAATTAAACGGTAGTGTGTTTAGGTACATTAGTGTCATGTTTCATTGTGGGTCGACATAATGGCCTTCAACATTTAGTCAATTCTTGTCAAGTTAAATGCATTTTGTCAGTATCTCTGTTTTAAAATGATTTTTCTTAGTTTTATTAATGCACTCCACTCCTCTCCAGGGCTCCAGAGTGGTGGTATCAGCACGTTCTTTTGCTGATTTGACACCTCAGGCCAGCTTTGACATCAAGGTAAAGTTGTCATATTAGCTTAAAAGCATGCACAAACAACTAAGGTCATTCAAGAACTTGTTCAATTCCAGAGATGTGACCTTCATCGCTTGGATGAAGGCCCTTCAGTGCAGACAGTGCTCTCCAGAGAGGATGGACTCAGGTACTACCGTACTATGCAGACCATGAGACGCATGGAGCTGAGGGCAGATCAGCTCTACAAGCAGAAGATCATACGAGGATTCTTTCATCTTTATGATGGGCAGGTAAGACTAAATTGAATGCCTTGTTTGCACAGTCACTGTGATATGATTTAACTTCTCACCACCTCTCAGGAGGCCTGTGCTGTAGGCATTGAGGCTGGTATCAGTCCCATGGATCACCTGATCACAGCATATAGGGCTCATGGTTACACCTACACCAGAGGTGTGTCTGTGAAAGAGATCATGGCAGAGCTCACAGTTGAGGACTTTCTACACCACATTTCTGCTGAATCTACAGCCTCATTAATTGTTATTTTACAATGCTGATAATAAGACATGCTTCTTAAGCACCAATTGAAATGATTTCTGAAGGATCAAGTGACATTGAAGACTGGAGTATATAGTTGAAAATTCAGCTTTGCCATCACAGGAATGAATCACATCTAATAATATATTAAAACAGAAATATTTATTTTAAATTGTAATATTATTTCACAATATTACTGTATTTACTCTATTTTTGATCAAATAAACACAGCTTTGGTGAGCTTAAAAGGCTTATTTCAAATACATTAAAAAAAAATAAAAAAAATAAAATACATTAAAAAAATTGAATCCAAAACTTTGAACTACAGTGTTTATATATAGCAGTATATAAATAGCAACTGAACTGTATAGTTTTGGGTCCTGTTGTTGATTTTTACATTTAAGAGTTTCATCATTTACAAGAATAGCTGAGAGAGAACTTCTTATACGCAAAATGGACTGTAACTAAAAAATACCAGATGAATCTGAATCAAATCAAATCAAATCAAATCAAGAGCTTGTACTAGGAATCAAATCAAGAAATGTGTATCAAAACCCAGCCCTAATTTGAACAAGTTTACAATCCATTTCAGGTCGAAGGGGTGGTGTTGCCAAAGGCAAGGGCGGCTTTATGCACATGTATGCCAAGAATTTCTATGGCGGGAATGGTATTGTTGGTGCCCAGGTGAGATGCACACATCATAGCTTACAAGAATATTACAACAGGCATTTCTAAATCTAAATTTCACTGTTTTGAAAGTTCCTCTTGGGGCAGGTGTGGCCCTGGCATGCCAGTATCAGGGTAAGAATGAGGTTTCTGTCACTCTGTATGGGGATGGAGCTGCTAATCAGGTGAGAGCAACTTTTCCTCCATGTGTTCACAGGTTTGCGTGCGATCTGCTGTTGCAAAATAATGTCTTATCTGATTAATCCCTTTATCAGGGCCAGATATTTGAGTCGTTTAACATGGCAGCTTTGTGGAAACTCCCCTGTATTTTCATCTGTGAGAATAATAAATATGGCATGGGGACATCAGTGGAACGGGCCTCAGCAAGCACAGATTATTACAAGAAAGGAGACTACATTCCTGGTCTGAGGGTATCTGTCTTTTTATTTTTTGTTTTAGTTTTTCTAGTTGCCTCATCCTCGTTTTCTGTTCACCAGTGCATGCAAATTTATACAGACATACATAAAAGACACATGTGAGCAAATAAGTCAAGCCTGTCTGTTTTCTCCAGGTGGATGGCATGGATGTTCTCAGCATGAGAGAGGCAACCAGGTTTGCAGCAGATTATTGTAGATCTGGAAAGGTAAAAGAAAAGTGACATATTTTACTTGCTTAACAAGTCAAGGAGAGGTCATAGATTTAAAGGAATAGTTCACCCAAAAATGAACATTTGCTGAAAATATACTCACCCTCAGGCCATCCAAAATGTAGATGAATTTGTTTTTTGATCGGAACAGATTTGGAGAAATTTAGCATTACATCATTTGCTCACCAATGTATCATCTGAAGTGAATGGGTGCTGTCAGAATGAGAATCCAAACAGCTGATAAAAACATCAGAATAATCCACAAGAAATCCACACAACTCTAGTCCATCATTTAATGTCTTGTGCGTGTTTGTACAAATTAAACAAATGCATCATTGAGATGTGTTAACTTTAAACCCTTCCTCCAGTGAAAAAGTCCTCTTACATCAAAATCCACCAACATGTTTGTTTAAAACTGTTTTGGACTGTTTTTGCTTTGTGCTTGAGCTGTGCATATTTCTGTCCTGATTCAGATTAGATGATTTTTTTCACTGGAGAAAGCAATATTACTGATGGAGGATTTGTATTTTAGCCAGAAGCAGTTTTTCGCTTCACGAGATGTTAACTGATGGACTGGAGTCGTGTGGATTACTTGTGGATTATTGCTCAAAATGTAGATGAATTTGTTTTTTGATCGGAACAGATTTGGAGAAATTTAGCATTACATCATTTGCTCACCAATGTATCATCTGAAGTGAATGGGTGCTGTCAGAATGAGAATCCAAACAGCTGATAAAAACATCAGAATAATCCACAAGAAATCCACACAACTCTAGTCCATCATTTAATGTCTTGTGCGTGTTTGTACAAATTAAACAAATGCATCATTGAGATGTGTTAACTTTAAACCCTTCCTCCAGTGAAAAAGTCCTCTTACATCAAAATCCACCAACATGTTTGTTTAAAACTGTTTTGGACTGTTTTTGCTTTGTGCTTGAGCTGTGCATATTTCTGTCCTGATTCAGATTAGATGATTTTTTTCACTGGAGAAAGCAATATTACTGATGGAGGATTTGTATTTTAGCCAGAAGCAGTTTTTCGCTTCACGAGATGTTAACTGATGGACTGGAGTCGTGTGGATTACTTGTGGATTATTGCTATGCTTTTATCAGCTGTTTGAACTGTCGTTCTGACGGCACCCATTCACTGAAGAGGATCTATTGGTGAGCAAGAAATGTAATGCTGAATTTCTCCAAATCTGTTCCGATGAAGAAACAAACTCATTTACATCTTGTAGGGTGAGTAAATTTACAGCAAATTTTCATTTTGGGGGAACTTTTCTTTTAATCATGGGCTAGTGTTGCAAACAAACATGATGGGAGATCCAGTCTGTGACTGGTGGGCAAATGTTGTGCTCTTCAGGGTCCCATACTAATGGAGCTCCAGACATATCGTTACCACGGCCACTGCATGAGCGATCCTGGGGTCAGGTGAGGTTGACCTTCAGCCTTCCCCCTGTGGCAGGCGCTCATCCTTCCTTGGTTCATTTAAGACCCTATCCTCATCTGCTAGCCTCCATAATCACAGTCTTTCCTCTTTAGTTTTAGGTAGTTTGCGCATCATTTCAGTGAGCACACAATTCGCTGTACTCTCAATCAGTGCTTTTCTCTCCTTAGTTATCGCACACGTGAGGAGATTCAGGAAGCTGGCAGTAAGAGTGACCCCATCACTATGCTGAAGGACTGTATGATTAGGAGAAACATGGCTAGCCTGGAAGAGATCAAGGTACTTTATGCATGCCAGTTACTTGATGAATACCAGAGGGTTAGTATCACCATGTTATGTTGTTGGAACCATGACAGGACATTGATGCTGAGGTTCGTAAGGAGATAGAAGAAGCAGCACAGTTTGCTACCTCTGATCCAGAACCCCCTCTGGAGGATTTGTGCAAACACATCTTCTACAATGATGCACCCTTAGAAGTCAGAGGCACCCACCCCTGGATGAGGCTGAAATCCATCAGCTAAAGAACCTTCTGATGATTCAGCACTTCATTCGTCATAATACAGCAGCTCTGTTCCTAAACTTATACGAAATGTATGAAATTGTTTTATCCATAAAGTCATAATTACATTCCATAAGTGCTGTTATTGCCTCTCTAATTAGCAATCATTTTTGCTGACTATTAATATAATAGGAAACACATAGCACAACATACAGCAATAAATATTTAGAGCAATACTGGAAAAATAGATTAAATAAATGAATACAATGAATAAATGAAAAAACATACAAGGTCTCTGAATGAAATGTAGGCCTATTAAAAATGATTTGTAATGATGATACAATTTTCATGACCTGTAGTAGTGTGATGCTGTAATTTCTTGAATTATGAGTTCATTTGTCATTTCAATATAATATCCCAAAGGCTTAATTGCTGTTAGTACCAAAACTTTCACTAGAATCTAAGCTTATGCAATCATTAGTTAGCACATTTGCCCTTAGAGACTGAATTCTGGATTTCAAATAATACTAACATGTGTAATATGTGTAAGGATGGAATGAATAAATATGTAATGATTTGGCTTACATTTGTGTCAGTTGTGTTCAGTTTGCTCGCCACCGAATGAATGCAAAATCCCGAGTCACTGAATCACACAAGAGAAATTACCACAGACTCACCAGCAGGTGTCGCACTCTCCACCTGCGTGACTCAAGTGTCACAGCTGACGAGGTACATTTTATACATGCATTCCAATGTCATTTGATGCCACCCCAAAAAATATGTTTAGAAATCAGTCTACTTGACACGTACTACGCAGGATTGTTAAATTAATGTGCATAGTAGATTTCATTGTAAGCAAAAGAGATGTAGGCCTACTGTTCATTGGAATGGACTTTGGAAATAACTATTAAATTGATCATAAACTGATTTTCATTTATGGTTGCATTTAGAGAAGAAATCAAGCATTTTGTGTCCATAAAGTCTGAATGGGTAAAGATAATTATGTGTACGGATCATACTGCTGATTTAATTTAATGTAATTATTATATAAAACGTGTCAGCTCAGATCACAAGTTGGCCATCAAATACACTGCGCTCTCACCTGTCCGTCTATCATGAGCTCCGTAGCTTTAGCCCGCCCTCTGTTAATGATTGACAAGCATATCAGCCAATCCGACGCGTCATACTGAAAGAAGCGGAAGTGAATAGAGAGCGTGAACGTGTTTTTTTCTGTCAAAAGGGGACAGTGGTGAGAGAGAGAGAG